ACCAGTCCATAATTTAATGATGAAGCTTTGGGATATTTGTTCCAGTAGCCAGTATGGCTGTTTGTGGGCAGTCAAATATTGCTGAAAATATTTAATCAGATGCAGTGCCTGAAAACTATTTTCTTTAAATGTGTATTTTTAAAGGATCTGGTTTTAGTTGTTGCTATTCTCTAAATACTAAGAAAGTGAGAAAGAACAGTGCTGAACTAAGCTTTTGCTTAGAACTGTTTTGCACTTCAAGTGGAGTGTCACAAAGAGAAAAATTGCCTTCCTGATAAAGGCCATACCTGCTGCTAATGTGCAAGGATTCTGGTTTCTTCCAGGATTGCTTTCTGCGCTGATCATTGCAGTGGTGTCCAAATAATCAAGATTGTTCTTGGTACTGAAAGTTTCAGCTTGATTCAAGTTGATGAAGACTGATTCCTGCATCTTTTGAAAGAATCCTTATACCACAGACTTGATATGTAAGGATTTGGAGATTCTTCTTTTGCTTTATGTTTTAAAACAGCAGAGAGACCTATTTGTTGTTACACCACATTTCAGCACGCCTAGAAATGAAAACCTCATCACTTGTATTTTTTTAAACAAGTGTACCAATAGCCCAGAATTTTCCAAGGTTGTTCATTGAAGACAAAGGAAATTTGTATTGCAGCTGAGAGGGAGATATGAAAGATTTTTATCATGTACTTAGTAACTTGAAAACAAAACTAAACTAAGCTTGTAGCACAGTGATGTATATACCATATGTGACCTAGAAGTTCTGTGGTGTACCACAGATTAGAAAGTGTCATGGTAACTCAGGAGGCATTCCTGGTTTAATTGGACAACTGTGTTTTACAGCTGTCTAAAATTCACAAAGGATCTCCTACGAAATAAAGCTCTTTAAAGAGCTTCAATGGAGAGAGACATTTCATCAATTCATATATTCCTCATTGTCAGCTTAAATGTGACCCAGTTATTTGCCATCTTCCTTTGCAGACAAGATGATAGAAAAGTTCCCAATTTTTCATATGCTAGCTTGTTGTAAATCTGAATTACTGAGTTCATACCTTATTTTCCATTTTGAGCTTGCTCTTTATGCAGCAGTATATATATATATATATCAGCCATATCCCATTCATGAGAAAACTAGCTACAATTCCTGCCAGTTAAGATTCAGGCAGGTTTTTGATTTCTTCGTAAGTTTTCCTGTGAGATTCAAGCAGAAGATTCTGCCTTCAGTGGATAAGGTATATTTAATAATTAATCTCATACAGGAAAATTGAGTCAAGACTCACAGTATTCTGCAGTATAATAATGATTTCATGATTTCTTTATAAACCTGGAATCCATTGCAGGAAAATCTGTCTCTGGAGAGAAGCTGGGGGAAATGGATGATGCATCTTTGTCTCTGAGAAGGTGAACTTGAGAAAAGGCTTTGGTAAGTTCCCTAAATATACCACAAAACATTTATCTCCAGCTTTGCTCCAGGGAAAAAGGAGGATTGTTTCCTGAAAGGGAGGAGAAGCAGGAAAGCTTTTGGATTACCACTGCAGCATGAGGGTAGAATCCCAGAGTGAGGTAATGTTTAATATCTTACTTAAACACAAAAAAGTTAATAGATGTAAAATACTTGTTTCTGAAAGTCTTTACACTCAGCCATATGGAAAACAAGCACACGTGATTTTAGCTTCCAATCAGCTGTGGCTCCCATAGTGTGCTATTAAAAAGATGGTTTTTACTTGGAATTCTCAGTGTTTTAGAAGGGGGGAGAAATACAGATTTGTCCAAGTTTATGGGGAAGTCCCAAAGCAGTGACAGTGTGCTGAGGGTGTGTGCTCCAGGAAACAGAGCACAGAACTGAGACAACCTAACTGTCACCCCCTTGTCAACAGTCCTGAGAAACACCCCATTCCATAACCCTTTGAGAGCTTTGCATTGTCTATACAGCCATTATTTTTTAACATGTCAAATGACAAGAGAGCATTATAACTTTAAAGAGCTGCATCTGAAGCACACTGTGTATATGAGAAAAGCCAATATGGCTGATAGGGAATTGCCTTTTCATAAACCATCCTTAGCTTGGAGTAGCCACCGCAGAAAAACCGAGATTAGTTGAACCAGATTGCCCTCTGCAGGCCACAGGCACCTCCCTCCCTTTGCTAATACTCATTCCTCTTTTCTACACAGGCAAATTAAATACACTGTTAACACAACAGGGTTTGGATTTGTATTTTTTTTTCCAATAAATTAGTAATTAATTAAATAGATATTTGGGGACAGCTCACTATTCTGGGTCCCAAACAGTAATTTACTTTGCTCGAGTAGCTCCTCATTAGGTTTGCTATTATCTGAAGGCAATGCGCAAATGGAGATGATGCAGAAGGGATTTGATTTAGCCCTCTAGCTGTTTGTTCAAGTTGAGCTACCAGCACAGGCCATAACCAGCATATGGTCTAATGAGCTACAGTGAGAATCCCGCAGATCCTGTCTTTGTTGTACTGGATAACAAGGGAGAATCACACTAAAATGGACTACTTCTCACCTGGTAAAGATTGTGAGAGTAAATACAGATCCTGGGAGATGGGAGGAGGCAGTACTTTACAACTCCTCACCTAATCTCTGCTGAATAATGATCTTTTAGAATCTCTCTGTTTTTAAACTAAACCTGAAGTCATGACCATGGTTTATGATTTTCATTTAACAAATAACAGCAGGTATAAGTCAATATCATAAATCAGTTTATGAACATGACAGCTGTTTAAGTATTTCACTCAATGTATTATGTGTGTGTGATTCCTTGAAAATAGGATTGAAGACTAAATAAGGTAAAGGTGTGATTTTTAAAAATCTAAATTACTGATATGTAACTCTGAGCTCTATAACTTGCAGAACTAGATTGAAAAAATCTCTGCATTGCTATCATAATTAGGGATATGATTTTATATTTGTAACTGACATAGCAACATCAACAAAATCTCTAGTACAAATAAAAGTACATTGACAAGCTTGCCTATGTTGGCATAATACATGTTAGCTCAAGAGGCGGGCATAAATTATGCCACTAAACATTTCTGTCTCAAAACATTTTGCAAAGAGAAATTATTTACCATCTTCCTTCTTTCTTTTTATAACACATTCTGTGTGCTTGCAAAAAGACAGCAAATGTCCTTTACTAGTAATAATTAAGTATAATACTATATCTGTAATAACAGTAGAATTGCAAGGACTCTCCTGGGACTCTTTGACCCCCAACTCATAAATACCAAGGACTCCAGGGAAAAGCTGAAGAGTCAAGCAGGCGTGTTTCAAGCAGAACCTGAAACTCTCTAGCAGTTAACAGATCTAGACTAGTAGCTGATTTCAGTGAGTAACTTTATTCAGTAAATTCCAGTGAAACAAACAGGCTTCATCAGATATTTTTTTTTCCTCTTAGTAGCTCAATAAAGTATGCTGTCTGGAACAAGTTCTGACTCACACTGCAGGGTTAACAAGGGCTAATTTAAATAGGCCAGTATTTTCAGTTTTGGTGGTAAAGAGCAAATGAGATAAATACCAAAAAATTTAGAGGATGTCTTTCAAAATTCTGCAACTGAGAATAAGCAAACTCCTGTTTTGACAGATGATGTCTGGCTTATAACCAGATGACGAGTGTCAGAAGTAGGGAAAATTGAGATACATTCCTTAGAATGGAACCTCACCAAGGTCTGTGATGAACTGACTATAGAAAGAGTAAGTCTCAGCTCCTACATTCATTGTACATAATCAACTTGCCAAAAAGTTCTTGTAACAACTTGCTTTTGTAGAGATACTGCAAGAACACAAGCATGTTCTTTTCCAGCCTCTCTGTTAAAGCCATCCAGTAGATGGGGCCATGGAGTTATACAAAATGCAGAAGAAAGTAAAACGAGTTTATCCCAAGAACTCCTTCCGTAATCAGTGCAAATAGAGCTTTGTTAATTCATGAAATTCTAACGTCAGGCAAATAATTTATTTGGTTATATCATGTTCTGACTGTATAACTGATTAAGCTGCATGTAAATGCTAGTTAATATGATTCCACATGTTTGATACTGAAATAATTACAACTCTCAGTCAACACAAATTACAGCTGAGGTTTTAATTCTCATTCATGCCACATTCATTCCCAAGTATTGTACAGGCCTGAGATACAGTCAGACATGAGATGAACTGACACAATGGAAGGCATTGATAGTAATTGTAGCAAGAGAGTCCCACATGTGGAAGCGCGTATGTGGTGAGAGGAATGTGTTAGTGGTTCCTGCAGAATACAAAGGATGACTTTATGACTGTAACTTACACGCGCTGTTGGTGGTTGGTTTGTTTGTTTGTTTTTTCCCTGCTTCTTTGAGATCTGTGCATCTGTTCCTGTTAAATCCTGTTAAACAGAAAAGGACGCATGGGTTTGAGAAAACACGTATGAACGCTGCAGGAGCAGTGGGCAGTCTCAGTGATTTCACGGCAGGGGATGCTGAAGTCTGAAATGTGCTTGCTGTATGGTGTAGCCGAAGTTGCCACCCTGTGTTTGCAGCTGTTTTAAAATGAATGAATGATATGCAATCAATTTAACCGGCAAATTGCATCAGGTATGAGTTTACAAGCGCACATTCTATTTTGCTGCACTTGAAAACCTGATGTTTTTATGGTTTTGTACCTTAAGATCTTCACAGCTGTATAAAGTTGATCCTTTAAGTCACTTATGCTATAAAAAGTTGTTCAAAACACCTGTAAAGACAGAATTACCATCACTCTTCTGTGCCACGGAGCAGGTCTGTGCGTGAGTGCCGCACGGGTGGTGTTTTTCCTTTTTCTGTTGCTGTTAACATCGGTTTCCAAGCCACAGGCGCCAGCAGGAGCCCTGGGTCGGTCCGACCCGGGTGTTCCCGAGGTTTGCTTTACAGCATGGCCGGGTTCCCGTGCCTTCAGCTGTCCGGTACCATCCGGAGCTGCTCGGGGGTCCCAACACCGCCCGAGGAGGGGGCCGTGAGGGGCCGGGGCTCGGGCCGGGTCAGCAGCGGCCTCTCGATGCGGTGCGCAGCAGAGCCAGCGCGGCCTCGCAGTGCCGCGGGGCAGAGCCCGTACGGTGCTGCCTGCCCGGCCCGCACGTGATCACCAACGAGGAGCCGCGACGGCACCTGGAGGCGGCCCCGCCCCGGTCCCAGGAAGGGAGCGGCCGGATCCGGAGGGACGGGACGGGGCGAGACGGGACGGGGCTGCCGCCCCTCAGAGGCCGCGCGACTCCGGCAGCAGCGGGCATGGCTTTCGGGAAGGCTCCGAAGGACCCTTTCGGCACCGCCGTGGGCAGCCTGGTCGGTGAGTACCGAGGGGCCTCCGCAGTCCGCCTGAGGGGAACAGGGGGGCGCCATTTCCCCCCTGTCGCTGGCCCCGGCCGTGGGGGGTGCGGCGGTTCGGAGCGTCCCCGCGCCTCCCGTCCGGCTGAACGGCGGCTCCCTTTGGCCTTTCAGACCGGGCGACGCTTGGATCGCTGCAGACGGAGGACTGGGGGCAGTTCATGCACATCTGCGACGTGATCAACGCGACGGAGGAGGGGTGAGCATTGCGGGGGGCACTGGGCCGGGGGGCGGCTCAATGTCAGAGCTTCTGCTGCAGCCCCCTTACCTGCAGGGCTGAGAACAGCCGGGTTTCGTCTCGGAGGTAGCACCGGCATTGCTCGAGGGCAGGTCAGAATCGAGCAGGCGGCTTACAATGTGTGTATAAAGTTACCCCAGACAAAGTAGCAGCAGGGAGCAAGTACCTTTGATTCCTAGAGGAAGAGTTTTGTCTGTTTCAGTGTCTCTTGCTCAGCTATCGGGACTTGTAGATTAGGTGTGTGGGCTGTTCCCCGTAGCCAGGCGGTAGAGAAAGGTGGTAACATAGGTTTCTCACCCGAGTCTGATGTATTTTGTGTAACCTGTATTGTTTGTCAGGCAAAACGGGTGTCCTTGTGCTCTGCAAAACCCAGCCTGAAAAAAGACCTTGAGCATTTGGTTGCTTATAATGCTGTTTAAAGCTTCATGCTTCTAACTTTATCAGAGTTCCCCACTGTGAAGTGTCTCAGCCAGCCTCTGTCACAGCAGGAGCAAAGCTAAGGCTGGGGTTTTGTTCAGTGGGATCCATTGTACCAAGGTGTGTACCCAGGGCAACCGGGACATAGGTGGTCTCCTGCACTGAACAGCCACATTCTGGTTTACTCAGCCACTTGCTGCTTTGTGCTTCCCTGTTCTTACCTGTAGAAGGAAATCTGTTCTCATGTAAGATGTGCTTTAGTGGTGCATTGCGAGAACTTCCTGCTATCAGTGGCATATTTTAACACCAACTGGAAAACTTGCTTCAGAAGGGTGAGCTGTGCCTAAGTTTCTACACAGGTGGGTTTTGGTGGTTTTATATCAGCTTTTCCTTTCATTTTTTTTTGGATCCCACACTCTCACCCATGGCTCTTAGAGCTTGGAAGGTAAATAACTCTCCTCTGGTCATTGCCATAAGTAACAGCACACTTTGACCCTCAGTGTTAGTTTCTATGTGGAGTTTCTATGCAGCCAAGCTTTTTATTAAACATTTCCTTATGTGCACAGCTTATGCTTACAGAGGAACTCCTTATAACTTCCTCCTAGGCAACTACTAGTCGCAGTCTGTAACAGGGTACGAAGAACAGCAGAACTGCTGTATCTAATTAGGCAAATGGTTTTTTTAATACAGTATCCAACTCCTGACCAGATGCTCCAGATGCTTCAGTGAGAGAGGCAAAGAAGCAGGAGTGGAATAATAGTAGTTCAGCTTTCTGCAGGGGAAGTTTTCTTCTCTGCTCTCATGTTCCCATCCAGCTCTTGATGCCCTACTGATATGGCTGGGTATGACACAGAATTAAGAAAAACAGATATATCGCTGGTTTTATCTGATGAAGTTAAACAACATTTCAAACTGAAAAAATGCAGTAATACCCATTTAATTTTATTTGCTTTGAAATATTTTCAACAAAGATTTCTTTTTTTTCTTATTGAAATACGGTGGTTGTGCCTATTGCTCTGTCTTAGATTCTGGAGTGATCCTAAAGAGACTTTAGGACATCTTGTTTTTGTTGATCATGAGCTGGCCTTAATAATTCTACAGTATAGATAGCCCATATTAATTAGGCAAAACTGTTTTCCACGTGTGATAAGCTTGATACCATCTTCCACCCTTTTCCTCCTACATAGATAGCTTAAAGATATGGGGTGTATATATATAGACATCAGAATGACTGGGCTAGAAATGCCACTATCTTTGAGGTGGAATGGGTTGTCCATCCGTACATGGTAATTACTCAGATGAGTTAAAAGCATCCTGCAATTATAAGGTTGGAGTTAGCCAAGACACCCCTACTCCTGACAGCACTCCCAGGAGAGTATTTTTTAATTGCATCATAGATGAAAAATAGGTACCAGTCAACTCTTGATACAGTTGGCAATTGTTATTCCCTTTCATAGCAATAAAAGCTGGAAAAGTAAATCTGTTGCAAAACAGTGAAATAATATAATTTTGGAGGAGACTTTTCAGAGGAGAATAACTTAATTTCTCTGCACAAGTCTCTGGAGTAATGCAGAGTTTGCAGTAACAAACCTGATTCACTGCTTTGCTACTTTAGCTCAATGGTGAAGTGATTTTGCTTGCATCAGTGGGATAATTGCTCTAGTTTTATGTGGGTGTAAAATCAGGGATGAATTTGGTCTTGTACCTCTGGCCCGTATTTTTGGCTCTGGGATGAAGTTATGAACTAGAAAAGCAGTCTGACTTCACTGGTAACTTTTTCTACTTAATTTGTCACAGGCCTAAAGATGCAGTTAAAGCACTAAAGAAAAAGCTTTCAAAAAACTGTAACCATAAGGAGATCAGGCTTACCCTGTCTGTAAGTACAGCTGTATTTATATTAATTAGATACTAAGAAGGCAAACGTTTTAAACGATAAGGTGGCATGCAAATTATCACTGACACAACTCCCCAGGATGTTTTCTGTCTTTGTTGTTTGTGTGTGCAGCACTACCACAGTGCAGATTAGATGGTCTGTTGGCATTCCAGAGATGATACAAATTCGCGGATTTATTGTTCCATTTGGGGGGAGTATGGGGGTGTGTTAACTTTTTAAAACTACATAAAAGTACTATAGTTCTTATTTACTCCAGTGGCTGTCCCTCTGTGCGTGCCCCACCTGTTTGTGAAAGATACGGAGGCTGAGTTATTGCATAGAAGCTTCATTTGGCCGTTCTATTGCTCTCCTTGTGGTACTGATCCTAGTTAGGCTGAGCAAGGTATGCAGTATGGCACATCCCACATGGAACGTGCAGTACCTGTTTTGTAAAGGTGTTATCACATATGAATGAGAAATTTGAATGAAAGGGTAGCAGTGGTGAGTTAAGCAAGGGAGCAAGACTCAGGGTAAGCCACTTAAGAGTCAAATGTTATGACTAAAGGTTAGCATAGCTAGGAATATCCTCACTTGAGATAACCTGGCCTCCAAAATCTGGCAGTGTTTCTGAACTATCTGAGAGTTTGAGGAATTGTGATTTCAACATAAAATTTAGTGGAGCATGTTCACACTGTTCTGTTTTCCACTGCACTGATAATGTAGGCAGCAGCAGGAAGTTCCTAACGCTGTCCGAAGTCCAGAGTTCCGAACCTGAATTACTTCTGACTAACAGTAGTGCAACTGTCAGAAGAACCATACCATTCATGTTTTAAGTTGTTGAGGATTTGCCTTTCATTATTTGTCTAGAAGTGTTTTCTTCGCCATTTCCTTTTTTGAGGTAGTAGAGGCTTGTCTGCATTGCACTTAATAGTATTACTCATGAGTTTGGTATTTGTTGTGCAAAATCATTGTCTGTATCAATATGTGCTGCAAAGTGATTAAGGAAGATAGATGATTGGTAGTGTCAAATTGTAGGTCGCTTAGCGATTGCCCAAGTGTCTCCTGACAAGTTAGAGGTGCAGATAAATGTGTTAAACATACCTATGTATATCTTCAGCTCATTCCATTTCCTCACTTCTTTCCTGGCTTCCTCCTCCACTGTCTCATGAGTCACCTTTTTGTATGCTCTATGTGTTTGCATAACAGAAACACTCGGTTTCCGCTGTAATTGTAATCCCTGTATCAGATCTTCTTTCTTTCTCCTACCGTCTTTGTGCACCTTGGTCCTTCTCTGAACATCTGAAGCAGTCAACTGGAGTTATAATAACCCAGTGTTTACATTTAAGAGCCTTGCTTTGATTATTTACTCTGCCGATATGCCCAAGGTGACATTATAGATTAGCTTTTAAGAGCATAGAAGGGGTAGAAGGGTCTTGTTTCAGGTGTATACAACAAAGAACTTTCTCAACCTGGACGCTCACTGTATTTACTTGCAGATGGGAATGTGTACCAGGTTACAGTTGTGCTTGTAGTTCATCACTTTCTCACAGTCTCTTTACCATTTCATGCCTCTTTCTCCATGTCCTCACCCACTCACTTGTACGCATGTAACTGCCTCCCGGGCAAACCCATCCTTTTGGCTCAGCTTCTGTTTTCTGACTGCAGGTTTCTTCTCCCTGAGTTCCTTGATTCTTTTATTAGTAAGTGCCAGATTTTCTTCTCTTTCTTCATGCTTTTTGTTCTTGTGGAATATCTTCCATCCTTTGCCTCTCCTTCTGCCCCTGTCTCTTTTTTCTTGTTATCTATCACTACTGACATTAGTCTAGCATGTGTAAAAGCTCCATTTTGATAACCTCATTGCTGACTATGTGTGACTTTTAACTCCTTTGTTCTCAAATCAGTCTTCCTTTGTGCTGTATCTCCTGGGTTTATGTTCTTGATTGCCTTAATGAAACTGTTACTGTTTCCCATTTTTAAATGCTTAGATTTGAATAGCAAATCATTGCAAATGGAGAAACAGGCATAGTTTTCAATTCCTAAAACACACATACACATTCTTGCAACACTTACCTCTTAACATTGTTTTTCTCCCAAATTCCTAAAAAATAAGGGCTCTTTTCTTTGATGAACTGTAAGTTATCACTTCTATTTCCCAGAGTAAATGTGGTGGTCCTGCTCTTGAGACTGTACACAAAATTGTCTCTCTTACCTGCATTAGATACAACTAAGAAGGCACCAGATCTGCAAATTGCTTTTAATTTGAAATGTACTTTGATCCACTTTTATTTACTCAACCTTGGTATTCTGGAATTTAATCTTTCTAATGAAACTGCTTACGGAGCTTATTCCCAAAGAATACACATGGAGTGAAATGTGAAAGTGTTCATCTGAAGTAGCACCGCTGCACGTGTTAGCCCTGATTCTGTCATTGAGAGATGTTAAATCTCAACAGTATCTTCCTCCTCCTGGCTCACAGGTGTTGATTTATTTACTTGGAGGAAGAAGGATGAGTGCCAGCTGTATAAGGTGTTGGCTATAGCTTGACTTCATGTACTTTGATCTGCTGAAGCACAACCTGGTGCTTGTGAAGTCACATGGATAGAGGTGTATGTGTGTCAGCCCATGAAGTTGCTTCATGCACAGTTTGATAAAGCCAAGAAATCAGGCTTGGCAGTGGTGATTTTGCAATCAGAGCGAAGAGGATTAGAGCTTCTAAGCAGGAATCCAACAAAGCATGTATGTGTTATTTGACTTCTTATTGCTAATACACTTCGGATACGTAAACTCTGTTTATGCAGTGAATGCTGATATACCTGTTCAGTTGTCTCTGTAGATCTCCCTTGAGTTTGTAGAGCATTTTTGCTCTGATACCTTTAAGGTCTTAGGAGCTGAAGAGCACATGGGGAAATAGTTTATCAAATGTGTCCCTCTCTGAACTTGTGTCCACACATAGTAAGCGGTAGATGGAAATTTAAGGTGAAGTTATTGCTTCACTTTGCATTGTTGCAAAATTTGTTAGAGGAATTCCTTGGTTAGACTTAATGGAGTTTGGCTGTTCTTTTATTTTGCCTTGACAAAAAAAAAAAAATCCTATTTTTGATTTTAATATTCTGTAAGTTTTCAGATGCAAAAAAATGTTAGCATGGCAAATGTGGTCTTCAGATTTTCCTTTGTTTAATTAACATGTCACAAAGCAGAGGCTCTAAAAAACAAAAGCATGAGAGCACCCTTCAGCTCCTCTATCAAAAAGTCCCAGTCAATTTTATTGCACTTTATGGTATATATGAGCAAAGAGGAAAAGAAAAGGATATTGAGTGGGAGCAAAATAAATCCATATTTCAGTGTTAAATATATATATATATTTACATATGCGTATACAAAATCCGCAAAATTCAAGAGTTCTGGAAAGCATACTTTAAATGCAGAATCTTGGTAAAATCTACATAGCCACTACACTGTAGCTGATGAATGGCAGCTGAAAAAGCTGCTTGTACAGGTTTATTTTAAATTCTGGCACTTGGAAATGGTGTCTCTGGGTAGCCATCACTATATGTTTAGTAGAGTGTAATCCTGGAGATGCATTAATGACTTGTTCACACTGAGTCAGAAAAACAAAGAAGCAAACTCTCCATCTATGATTTCTTGCACTCAGTTAGGTCTGAGAAATACCCATCACAAACTACATCTGTTCATTGCAACTTTATGGACAGCTCTTGGCTGCTTTAGATGGGCAGTCCTGCTGATTTCTGAGTGAGTTCTCTATCGATAAGGAATGTAGCTTTCTGTTATACCCACCAACTTCTTCCCATCTTGTTTCTGCCTGTTTGTCTTCACCTCTGTTCAGATGCCTTTTATCACTTTAATTCTGTATTGCTGTCAGGTGAACCAGAGGGCTTTTACTGCAGTTTGACCCCGTTTTAGCTCAGTGCAGATCTCTCAGCTGGACATCTGCTATCAGCTAGTCTGGAACATAGCAGCTCTGTCACTTCAAACAGTTCTTTGGTCCTGCCAGTCATTTGCTCTTCAGCCATTAATGGTTTGGTTGAAGTTAATTTGCCAGTTCTATTATTAAAACATGTTTCTATTGAGATACCAGTGTGCAATGTGAAACAGTGGTTGACTTGGCCACCTTGGATCTATTCATTCCAATGGGACTGCTTGAGAACTACTTGCAACAATAAATAACTATATTGAAATTCTAATGAAAGGTGTTATTAGCACAAAAGTGGCTTGTTCATGAATAGTCCAGTTAAAAATAATTGAGTTAAATTCTTTTTTTTACACCAGCTTAGTTTCACTCTGAGCGACTGGGCTGGACTGGCATAATTGAGGGGAGGATCTAGCCCATAGTTCAGTACTTTCATTCAAAGTAAATACGAGTAACATACTAGATTTCCCGTGTACTGGATTGAAAACGTTTTACACAGACCACCTTTGAAGTGCTGCACAAGCAAATGGCTTGGCTTATTAGCATATGTTTCATGTACTCTTTCAAATGAAAAATAATGATTCGAGCCAGGAATTTTTTGTAATTATCTCTCAGTTAGTTGGTTTTTTGCACAGCAGTCTGCCAGCATCTCTTTGTTCTACCCTGTTTTCGTTTCAGCAATTTATTTTCTTCTGGTCTTAAACCTGTTTTCCCATAAGTTCCTGATCACGCTGGGAGAAAAATCCCCAAATCCTGAGGCTAGAAAATGAGTTACTAAAATTATTTTGACTTAGTCAAATATAGTCTGCTCTGAACAGGAGAGTATATTTAACCTACTCTTATCAAGATTACAGTAGTGTCCCTTGAAACCTGTGTATCCTTTTGAGAATATAATCTGCTTGTTGCATGATTCAAGGGAAGTTTTGTCTTGCATTTGCAACCTTTTGTTAATTTCAACCCTTTGCTTTCACCTTTCTATCCTCCCTCTTAAAATAGGAGGAAAAGTAAATATATGGTTGAAGAGCAAAAAGCACAAGAATGACTGGTTTTCTCTACTTGGGCCATCATAGTCCTGTGGTTGATCTCCAGATTTGAGCCAGGCAAGAGGTCTGTTTCTGATTCTGCACCTGATCTGACTAACCCCAGTTTCCTATCAGGACTTGTATTGGCCTGATTTCCAGTGACTGGGATGTAGTGACAGATTTTGATATCTCTTCTGTAAAATGGGAATTGTAATCAGGCATCTCCAGGTGTATAAGGGAGAAGTATTATGTCATTATCGCATACTGCTCTATTTCGTAGCTCAGACATGTTGCTTGCAGGGATCCTACTCTGATCATCCTAAGTCGAGTTTTGGAAGTAGACTTTTTTTGTAAAGATGAATCTGACAATTGGAACAATTCAACTGTTCTGTTTCAAATCAATGTGACCTTTAAAACATGTGAAGAAATTGTACTCCAAGATGTTGAATTTGTTCTTTTCTATTTTTTCATTTGTCTCTCTCTCACAGGGCAGATTACAAGAGAGGCATTTAGTAATCTTCTTATTTTCTCTTATAGAGTTGTTCAGAATCTCTCAGGCCAGGGTACCTCTATGCTAGGCAGTGAATGAATTGTATTACCAAATCTGTACAAGCCATTTTTAAGCTATGTTCAGATTTCATGCTGTTAAGGTACCATATGTTCAATAACTGCCATGACATGGAAACAAGGGTGATCATACTTCTTAAAAATAGTGTAACTCTATCTAACACACGTAATTTAGTATAGTGTAGGTATATTTGTACACACAGTAAGTTACTCTTTCCCTGTAGTAACCTCATCAAACATTCTAATGAGATATCTAGGTGGATATAATCTATTCATATCTATTTCCTCATACCACCTTGGAAGAAATTAAACCAAAGGACACAAAAGCAGTCAAGTTGGCTTTTTATTCCTAGTATCTGTGTAACTGAAACTTTTTGTGTGTGCAGCTGCTTGACATGTGTATAGAGAACTGTGGCCCAAGATTCCAGTCTTTGGTTGTGAAGAAAGATTTCTGTAAGGACAAGCTAGTGAAACTACTGAATCCAAGATATAATCTGCCAATTGACATGCAGGAGAAAATCTTGTCCTTCATCATGGTAAGTCTAAAGTAAACAGTACGTGTTTGTGTCTCTGCTGTATGGTAAATGTTTAGTGATGCAGCCCGTTTCTGTACTGCAACATGCTCATGGGAACCCTTTCCTAAAGCAGACTTAATTCTCACTGCTTCATGCATGAGTAGCACAAACTGGAAGATAAAGGGAGAGAACTGGAAAACTCTCAACCTCCACCTTTTATATTCCCTTCCAAGTCTGTGTTTGTGCTCCCACTGTGGTTGCACTTAGCAAGCAGGATCACCGTATCACAGTATGCTAGAGATTGGAAGGGACCTCAAAAGATCATCTAGTCCAATCCCCCTGCCGGAGCAGGAACACCTAGATAAGCTTACAGAGGAACGTGTCCAGGCGATAGACCTGGATGATAGAGCTCTTGTGGTTCCTGCTGCTTTGAATGTGGAGTTAGCTGGAGTGGAGGGAGGACATGACCTGCCTTTAGGACTGTGCGTTTTAGAAACACTTGTCTGACCCACTGACTGTCCATTTCTGTGACTATTACTGTTCTTGTTACTTTAAAACTAGACATGGGCCCGAGGTTTCCCAGGAAATGTGGATGTGAGCGAAGTAAAAGAAGTTTATCTAGAACTGCTGAAGAAAGGAGTGGAGTTTCCATCTTCTGACACCAGCAGAGGGGAACCTAAGGTGGGTTTGCACAAGGATATTTCATTATCCATTGTAAATCAGAAACAGGATGTGTTTATTGTATGAGCTCTGTAGACAAAGCAGGTGTGTCTGTTTTGTTTTTATTTAAGTGCTCCAGGGCAGAATATGACCAACCTACTTAAGCATGTGAGGAGGAATCAGTTTCAATTATAACAGCTAAGATAACAACAAAGAAACCTGCCCTATATAATAGTTTATTTCAAACTGCAGATTAGTGACTATGTTCTCAAAAAGGAAGCATCTCTCTTGAGACTTTTGAAATGTATAAAGGGTTTGGGCACACTGTTTATTTCAAGATGAATGAGAGCTGAGTGTTCTAAACATGTCAACTTCTGAAGGCCTCAACTAAAAGGAGTAAGATTTTTTTATGAAAACATATACTGTTCAGAATATGAACGTTATCTACCTTTAAAATTAAGCCAAGAGAGGTAGAAATTTATAAGAAGAGATTGTTGTCTGTATCTCCAGCTGTTTGCGCAAGAGTTTTGGGAAGTGTGAAAACCATCAGCCAATTGCAGTTGCAGAATTGGATGTCTGTAATCAGTGCAGACAGGAATGACTCTGATTTATCCTGAGTTTGGTTTGATGATTGGATAGTGGAATGCACAAAAGCTTACATATGTAAAGGTTGTTTGAACAAGCTATGTGAAGAACGTTCTGAATAGGCAGTATTGTTTTTCTCACCAAGTACAGTACAGATGATATGTCTACTACATGTATGTGCCAGTTCAAATCAGTGGCAAACCTTCTGCTGATCTTGGCAGCACCAGACCTGAGCACAGTTTTTACCTCTCTAGGAAGTGAAGGACTTGGATATGTGTAGTCTTCTGCACATGGGGTTTTAGGTTTGGATTTATTTTGTCTTACAACAGTCAGTTCAAATGCCATGCAAGGGAAGCCTTCTGCAGATAAAGCTTTTCAATCCATAAGGCCTTTATAGTTTGTTATGTGGAAACACCCAGACTTTAGCTCCCAACTTTTCCACTGCTTCCAAGTGGGATTACATTCTAAACTATCCTTTCTTATAAAATTGCAGTGGTGCTTTGGGAAGGACTCTTGGCTGTTAGATGGCTTAAGAGCTCAAGGAGCTAGCCTGTTCTTAGCCATTCCCACTTTTTCTGTGGTAGAATTTGCTTCAAAACCCATTTAAAAGATAGCTGAATTCCAAAACTCATTTTGTTACAAAATAACCATCAGATTTATTCCTGTAAATAGAACCTTGCTCAACAAATTCGCTGTGAGCACTGATCATGAGAAAGCCAATGCCCAGTTGTCTGGTCTGATGAAGATGTTTTGTAGCTCTCTCATCAGTATGTCCGCTTCAGTTTTTTTGTTAAACCAGAGCTCTGTTCTTTTGTCTTTCTGCAGACTTCATCTCAGCCTTCTACAAAGTCATCACCATCTTCTTCTAATCCTCCAAAACAGCCTTCACCACCTCTTCCCACAGGGCCAACACTGTTGTTGACTCCTGATCAGGTGCAGTACAGCAGGTTTAGAGGATGGTGGGTCCACTTGAAATGTAGTGCTAATGTGTGATTTAAACAGCCTGGGTATATAGACCACCAGATGCAGTGAAGAATGCACTGGAAGGGACCATCAGTTCAAGTGGCATAGCTCTATATTCACAGTTTTAGGTTCATTCTCCTGAAGAACTGTTATGTGATGGTGTGCCAAAGCAAACTATGCAGAGGTGAGGTCAGTCAATGACAGGCTGCATCACAACCAAAAAAAATGGAATCGTTTACTCAAGTATGAGAATACCTAATGATGTCTTAACAATGTTGTCATGCAAGTTGATGAAAGTTGCTTCAAAGATAAGTGAGAAAGCCAAACTTACTTTTGTATAAGGCTTGTGTGAAGAAACTATTCCAAAAAGCATGTAGGAAAGAACTGTTCCCTTCCTGCTTGGCCTGTAGTTAACTGAAAAGAGTAACAGTAACATTAGTGAGAAGGATTAACTGCTAGGAAAATTAATAGCACTATCAGACTTGGATCTTAGTTTGATTGGACATATAAAAGCTGAGCTGATTCCATTCATTTTCATGGTATATCACCAGAGTGCAATAATGCTGATGAGGCTAATATTATACCTCATGGGAAGAAAGTACATATTAGAGAGAAGAGTTATTCTGCTCGCTCTTTTCACCTATACAATATTCTGTCCTGTTGACCTCAACAGATTGGGAAACTGTACAGTGAACTGGATATGGCAAAAACAAATGTGAGAGTCATGTCATCAATACTGAAAGAAAACGTCCCTGGCTCTGAAAATCCAGATGACATGAATCTTTTACAGGTATAAGAACTCATTGGTGGGGTATATTGGTTTGGTTTAGTCAAAGTTGACTTTAAAATGTGTTACATCCTTTCTTTTAACATCTGGATTCAGATTGCCAAATGGAAACCAACAACAGGTTTCTGTCACTGGTTTTGCTCAGCTTTCTCTTGTTTCCTTCACCTTCCCTGACACAGACATAGTCAGGAAAAGACAATACAGCTTGCAATGCAAATTGAAGCTCTAGGGAATTCCAAGGGCAAAGGAATTTCATAATGGAGCGTTCTCTGTTAAGCACGTTCTGTCAAACAGCCCAGAGAACATTCCAGTTGAACGCAGTTGCCTTGTGGGAAAATAGATGATAACACAGTCTCTCTCCCTCATATCCGTCCTGGAGTTTTCAGTGCTCTCTTTATTATTACCAGTACCTTAAAGGCAGTGAAGAATATGAAGCATTGGTTTTAAGTGCGTGACCTCAAAGACTGGGAGCTTGCTGTGCTATGGATGACTCCACGTGCTCTTAAAGTGTAGCCTGAAGGAAGCATATTGCAACAGTCTAGTTTAGATTTGATGGTGAACATGAAGATGTTCTTTCTGTGATTTCTTCTACTTGGTTGTGCTGTATTTTCTTTTATAAATACTAAAAATGCATTATTACTTTAGCATTTCAAGTGACCTGTGTCAGTGGACATTTTTCTGTTTCATGTTGTCTGCAAGAATTTAAAAAGCTTTTATCACATCCTTCTGTTTCTAAACTTGCTTTCAAATGCCTATGATGAGGAAGTATTTTGGGTACTTGGTCAGCATTACATGTGTTGGAGAGTTGATCTAATTTTTGCAAGCGTTCAGTGTGCTCTGGCTCAGTGGAGAATATTTCCTTTGCAAGGAACCTTTACTGGTTGGTTTACTTTCAAGGTTGTGCTGTTCATCTGTGTCCATTTATGGGCTGGCTCACAACTGGAGGTGAGATGGCATTGCTGTCTCACATCTTTAATGACAGGCAGCGCTGAGGAAACAAGATAGGAGACAGATGCAATCTTTCCGGGGGGTTTGCTCTCCTGGACGTTCCTCACATCTCCAACACTGTATGTCTTGCAGAGATTTGTGGAGCTATGACCCCAAAGAGGAAGAGCCAGCTAAGCAAGGGGCTGAGGAGAGTACACTTTTTACACAGACAAAATAGCTGTTGTAATAGATTACAGAGGGCTTGCTTTGCCTACACTAAAGGGCTTAGTGTAAGTTGTTCCAACACTGGACACCACCTAGGGAGCTAATCCATGGCTGTTCTGTGCACATTACTTCTGTAGGGAAGTACACCAAGGAGGTTGCCAAGGTGCAGACTGGCCTTAATGATTTAACCAGCCCTAAGTGGGAGAATGCACTGGTTTAATGTTCTCTGTCCTGTCCATAACAAAGCAAGAGTTTCTGGTTGCAAACAGGAAAAGTATGTCTTTGATTTCTTGTCTCCTATTGTGGCCCTTCTGCATGTGGGTGCACATGGTAGGTTGCCCACAGTAAACCAGTGGATTCTTATTGACACTCCCAGTAATAAAATTGTTGGCAGAAGTTTGAGGACAGGGTGTGGAGTTCCCATTTGTGGGAGAGTGACTAAAATTTCATTCCTTCTGTGTTAATTTCACTGTTGTTTCTGTTCTGTTCTGCTGTGCACTGAGTAGTATAAAGCATCAAGCATGGCTAGCCTGTTCCTTTAACAGTGTTTAACGTTCCCCTTTGTTTGTGGCTCTTACTTGGATTAGGCTTTTGTTGTCAGAGAACAAAGTCCTTTATTAAAAAAGCTGCTTGTTTAGCCTTTGAGAGAGCTGGAGACATTAATTTCAGTCCTGATTATCTGGATAATAAAAACTCTTAACAGGGTAAACTTGATCAGTGCAACATATTTTCAGTTCTGCAGCTTCATTAGTGGCTAAGCTCCTCCCTTTCTCCACCCTGTTTTGGACAAGGCAGATCTCAGTTGAAATAATATGCTGACCAGGAGCAGTAGTTAAAGAATAGCTAAAGCTCAGTGTCAGCAAAGAAGGGTAACAAACTTTCATACTGGATAGTGAACTTGATGGACATGCAAGAATTTGGGTCCAGGTCATCAGCTGGTAAGAATTAGTACAAATTCATTGGAATCACTGGTGATTGTTATTCCAGCTGGTCATCCACCACTGTAAAACTCCAGCTTTCAGAACAGAAGAGTGCCTGCACTTTGTGGGTAGGAGCAAAGCATAGGAAATCCGTGCTACAAAAAACAAGTGTCTCAATTTCTTCACTGTTGAATATGGATATTTACAAAGGAGCTGGTCTGCCTGTATAATGGAGTCATAAGAAATACACATTTTTTTAAATGGTAGAAAAGTCTGGAGTTGCAGAGGTTGTAAATTTAATTACAGACATTAAGCTGAATACATTTTTGTGTGTTTTATCCTGGGCTATGAAGATGCAGTGCTGAAAGGTGCGGTACTCTGTAATCCTTCTGCAGAGTTGCCAAAGGGGTGCAAAACTGTTTTTTTACATAAATAAAAGCATTTACTTATGTGAAGTATATGGGTTTTGAGGAAAAAATCAGTTTGAAAAGAATACCAATTTCTGAATACCACTATGCAAATGGAGCAATTTTCTCCCTCTTTTTTTTCCTCTTTCCTGACACAGAGCCAGCATTTGCAAATGCACACTGGGGGGCAAAAAATGTTGGCTTGAGTTGCAGTTCCTGTTGCTAAAGAATTTGTTTCTTTGAGCATGCAAAATCTGCAGTGGAGAGGAATATAAATAAACTGTCTTCTATTTCAACTGGCGATAGGGCAGAATTCTGTTCAACAAACTCATAATTCTGCTGGGTTTGTGTTATGTCCTCAAAAAGTGAATAGATTTGAGTGCTGTCAAACTTTCCCACTTAAGGGAATAGTTAGGCTAGTGTCATGGAGCACTTCTATCTTTTTGATTACTATTGTCTTTCCTTCAAGCAGACGTTGAGCAGGATCACATCCATCACATCCATGTGAAGTATCCTGCTGAGTTTAATCAGTTGCAAACAGGATCAAATCAAATTTGTTCTGCATTACCCAGAGGGGTCTTTGTTATTCTGTGATTTGTAATTTAGACTTTAGAGGCAGATACATCTTGAGAAATAAAAGGTGGGTCAGGAGGTAGGGATTGGGTAGGAGAGCTGGTAGTGATGATAGGAGTTGTCAACCTGCCTTGCAGAGATCAAAGACATGAAAATTACGCTATTTGCAATGTTTGGTATGCGTGTGGTTTGTGTAAATTAGGGAATGTTTCACATGAGGCTGCAGTGCTCAAGTCTCTTATCATTCTTCCACAGAACTGACAAGCTGGGAGACACAGTTACGATTTATATATTTCTTTTTTTCTTCCTCTGCCTTGGGCAGAAACTGTATAAGACCTGTCGGATGATGCAGGAGAGGATCATGGATTTGCTGGTGACAGTGGAGAATGAAGATGTGATAGTTGAGTTAATACAAGTAAATGAAGATCTGAATGATGTCCTCCTGGGACATGAGAGGTAAGTAAGTACATAGCCTCTCTCCTAACACTTGGTATCTTCGCTGAGTAAGTGCACTTAATAGATGCAGATAGTACTTACATTTAATGTTGATCCTCCACAAGGAGACAGATTTTTACACTTAAGTCCAGAAAATAAAGTGATTCAAAAGGAGAAAGCTATGTATTTGCCTGCTCCCAAACACCTCAGAAATTATTAACAAAGGTAGTTGGAAACCCATTAGAATGGGGTAAAACAAGTTAATAGCACAGACAGGAAGTCACACAAAAACCATCTAGGAATTTAACATTCCTTTTTGGTAGCACAGAGTGAATTTGTCATCAGTCTGCTACAAGCCCCTTGGTACTGATGGTGGTCATTATCCCTGCTAAGTGTATATGCTTCCAGGAAAGAATACTTGTTCTCCTTTCTAAACAACTTCGACAGCTTTATTGCAGAAACTGGCTATGGATTAGCCTCCTTGCATGCTTAAGAGTCGCTTGGTTTTCTCAGCTAGATTGAAACATGCTGTTCTACTTATGTTACAGCAGAAAATGTTTTTCTTTCACATGTGGAAGCAACAGAGTACTTGCTTTGACATCCCTTATATTTGTCTATTACGTCATTGGTAGCATGAGTGGATGCCAGCAAAACTGAAATTAATTTTAAACTCAAAATTCCAGTATTATCCCCCAAAATATTACAAGTATACTCATGGAGAGTATTCTGGTTTAACAAGAGTTAGCCTTCTATGTTAAGTAGTTGATCTCCTCCATGGCTAAGATATGCTCTAGAAATCATTATGCATCGAGTGCAGTGATTTTTAGCAGATTTAGAGAATTTAGTCATCTTTTCTTTTTAATCCTTTTCTGAATGCTGCGCTGAAAATATCAGTGATTCTTCTGAGTGTTATGGCACAAACTGGGCCTAATCTTGGTAACATTTAGCTTTCATTTATCCTTAAATCTTATGTCTACAGCAGTGTTGGCATATTTTACAGTAACTGCCCTGGAAGAATGGTGTTACCACTTCTTGCTTTAGGAAGTTTTTCATTTTAATAAAGCAAAACCAGAATTCTCTTTAGCTTCTGTAAATCCACTGAAATCAGATGCGGGCTTATGTTTTTGTTACAACTGATGAATACTGGCAAGGCCAAGAACTTCTTCAGCTATGAGTTACAGATTGTGGGTACACTTCAAGAAATTCCGTATGAATGACTTGTCTGGTGACTGAAGGAGCAACTAACTTGCCATAGTGAGACTGAACAGAAAACTACAGCTTTTTAGTACTGTAATGGCGTGGTTTAATGAACCCTAATGAGTCTTCCTGGGTGCAGTTGCATTGCACTTGAGAGTTGCTAAATATTAAAGTGTATTTGGTTAATATTTGCTGCAGAAGATTGGTTCTATGGAACTCCGTCTGCGCCATGAAATATGTAAAGGACAAACTGTTTTTAACCAGCTGCATCTGTTTCATACTATGTATATTGTTCAAAGACAAGTCATGCTGCATTCTCTGTTTCTCATTATTAATGTGGAGTCCAAATTAAATCCGAAGCAATCACCGTTGTGCAATGAACATGGATGGATGTAACAATGACTCCCTCTAGTGGCTCCAGCAACTTCCATGATCTGCCATATTTCAGATCAATATTTCATTTTCTGCAGTTGGAAAGTTGTTTGGGTTTTTTTTCTTCTGTTCCTCCTTCCATTATACTGTCTTACATAGGCCTTGCTAGTATGGTAATCCTGAATAGCCAGTGCAGTTGTATAGATAGTCTCATGGCCATACCACTTAGGGTTCTTATTTCTTAAATGGGTTGACCTTACAGATGCTGAATATCACTTGGCTGGGTCTCCTTTGGACCCCGTGTAACACTGTTCTTACTCCTAGTACATAGATATTTCTGCAAGTGGATTTTTTTCCTTCTTTTTACAAATGCCTGAAGTAATGAGCAGGCTGCATACCACAAGAGTCACATGGTTTGTCCTGAGATGGCATGAGGGAATGTGGGGACCATTGAGGATAGAAAGTTTCCTGGGACTCAGTTGGAAGTGTGTTCTGGTCAGAAGGAGCCAGGTTTGGCATAGTGGGTGTTCGTAGTTACTACCCTGCATGAACAGAGGCAAACTTTGTCAGCTGTCCCTTGATTTTACTTTGGAAGAAACAGATGGCTGTCTTCAAAAGTAAGCCCAAGAACAAGCTGATTGGTGTTAGTTTAGGTGATTGAAGGACCACAGCTCTGGGGAAGAGTCTAGTGCAGGGACAAGTGCCCCAGAGAAAAGCACCTGTAGTGCTTGTATGGCACCTCTGGAGTCTTTATAATCGAAACTTTGATTGTATCTGGTTTATAGTTTTATGAATGACCTCACAGAAATGCAAGAATGAACATCTACCTCTGCAACTTCAACAGGTTCTCCCGAAACAGAGTGCGTTTTTTGGAGAATCAGAGGATAAAACGTGAGCGCGAAGAGGTGAGTAATTACAGGTGAACTGCTGGGCTGTAAATACTCTTTTTTCTGTTCATCATGAAAAATACACTTTTGATATATGCAGAACTGTATTCTCTAGTTGAAGTAGAGGAGACAACAGGCTGTTTAGAAAGATCCTACTGATCTTTCTAAAGTCTAGCTTGTAGAATTTCATGCAGATTCTTTTAACTGAGGTAGCAAATAATGTCAAATCTAAGATGGAAGCTTGATTAGGAAAAATGAGAGAGAGATCTATTCAAATGCTGGTTTAATACCTCTACAGCTCAGCACTACTATCTGCTACCTACAAAATGAGGAGCCATTATGTTTCTTTTCATCTGTTCTCAGTTAGGCATTTTATAGACCAAAATACTATTACACTATTAGAACTCACTATTCCTGATGGGGTTTTTTTCCCCTGAGTCAAATCTTTTTCTGAATTGTGAATAATGGCTTGTAGCAAATCTTTAATGACTATCCTTTATTGATTGCTAATTATGGTTGTTAATTATATTGCCCAGAGTAGTTTTGCACATGTTTCAGTTTCTGCAAAGCCATAATCTCTCGTCATTTAGAGCTCAATAGGAAAATGACTGCATGGTGAATGCTGAAATACAGCTGACAAAAAAAGGTAGAAGATGATCTTGTTTTCCTTGAAAAGCCACTATAACTGCATTCTGGTTATGTGGGTGGATGGTTTTGCTTGATGGATGCTTTGTTGGATTAGTTTAATAGTCTAAATGGTGCAGTCTGTACATTTTCATTATTCAGGAGTCCCCAGGTTTAAAATGCATCATCTTTATTTTTAACCTGATGTGACCAAACCTGTCTGATTCAAGCATGTGAGTTTCCGAGAATCTTTGGTTGGCTACATTTTTAATTCTAACACATTCAGAGGGGAACCCTTTTCTGTGTCCTAGGAAACACTGTTGTGATTTTGAACTTTCCCTACCCAAATCAATCTCCTAAGTATGTACCAAACCTCAGTATACAAATAAAAGGCATGAAAATAATTGTACAGGATCAATCAGAAGATCAGTATCAAACCTGTATCAAACAAGCTCATGGTTACTTTTTAGAATTGAGTTCATTCTGTTTCCTACTTCAGAATTGTTTTCCTTAATCTTTTGAAATAGCAGCTTGAAACAGCTGAAACTGATCTTCTCTGGAAAGCACTTTTTGTTTCACTAGCTATCTTACACACACACAGAAAATCCTGGTATTCTCTCATACTTAAAATGATAATACTATGATTTTAAGAGTTTATGTTGTGTGGAAAAAAACCCACAATTTGTTTAAGCTGTACAAGTTCCTCTAAAAACCCAACCAACCAAACCAACCCAAACAAAAACTTTATTCCTTTTCAAATGTTAAGCTCTACCGGAAACAACCATCTGCTCCCTCAAGTGATCTACTTGACCTCTCCTTGGATTTGCCATCTGCTGTGTCTGCAGTGGTACTTATTGACTCTGCAGCGTCTCCTTCAGGCCGTAGTAAGTAAGGCATATTTCTCTTGCAGTTTGGTTTCCTAAAGCTTCACCAACAGTGGAGCAATCAAGTTCCTTATTAGAAAGAAAACAAAGATACTCCTTGACTTCAAGGCTGCTCCTTAAATCTCCTTAAAAGGAGAACTGATGTGTGTACATGGAGAAAAAATGTAAGTTACCATAAAGTTGCCTGTGATTTGTTTATGATGGAAGCAATTATCTCCCCCCCCCCATTATATAAATTTTCACAGCAGAACATGCTGTTTTCTGTTACAGAGAAGCCTGTAAAACAGTCTGGTCATTGCTTAGTCTGTATACCTGGAGAAAAGAAACACAGATGTCCCTGATGTCCTGAGTTTTCAGGAGACAGTGTTAGAAACAGTTCACTTTGAGAAAGGTACTTATCTCCTCTAACTTTAGATCTCCTTCATAGTTAGAGGAGTGAGTAAAGACCCTAAGTTTGGTACCCTTTATGACTGTTTGCCGAAGACCCTCCTTTATTCACTCTAGGAGAGTCAATATACTGATGTTAAAGGTGTGAATGTCCCTCCAGGAAGGAATGCCTGTAATTCTGTTTTAATCTTTTAGAGTTAATGAAAGAAGCTTTAAGTGGTATCTACAATGTGCAGCGCTACTGATTTTGTTCTGACGTTTTAAGGAGATAAATATATTGCATCTGAAACCTCCTCTTACTTATTCAAATGTTGCCTTTCATGTTATAAACAGCAATTTGTTTCAGACACTTTATATGCCTTCCAAACAAAACTTTGCCCTTTCAGTGTTCATAGTACAAGTAACTAACATTTGCTTAATAACATTTAAGTGATCGTTAATTGTCACTTTAAATTTCAGATGGCATATCTGCACGCCCTGAAGACAAAACCAAGCATCATCCATCAATTTATCCACAGCTAGATTTAGCTCAGCAATTCCCGTGAGTAGTCTCTTATCAAGAAATGGTAACAGACAACAGATCTTCAGAGGTATCAGTACTCCACAATTCGTCTTCTGAGTTTATAGAAAGCCCTGAGAACACAGATTTTCTACTTTTACACATTAGTTCATTAAAACAAGTGAAAACTACCTGTATGCCAGACATTGCTTAACATGCTTAAAAATACACCTGCAGCATTGTTTAGTCATAGACATGAATTTATCTCAACAGTCAAAACATTCTTGAGATACCTAGGGCTTTGTGCTCGAGTGTTGCCAGTGCTGCAGTGAAAGGGATAAACAGATGAATTGTAGAGGTCAGTAAGAATAGTTCAAGATGAGAGGTGTCCTTCTAGTTCCTTAACTTCAGTGTGAATGGAACACTAGCCCATCTGCCCATTCTGCTCTCAGTTGTGACATCAGGTAAAGACAGACCAGCTAAAAAGCAGCGTAACAATCAGAATGTACAGTTTTAACAGTTTCTCAGTTACTGCCAATGTGTTGTATTACTCTGTCCTAGATTTGCAACTGAAGCATCAAAAAATAGTGTCAGTGATCCAGCTGGACACACATATAGCAATGTGAGTAGTGCTCATGTTCAGAATAATCATTCTCTGCTGGCAGCTGTCAGAATGAAAACGGTTAGGATTTACCCTGCCTGCTGTCCAAATGGGATACAGAGGTGTCTTCTGTGGCCCTTTTCTGTCAGTGACAACTCTTTGTTTGGTGACCAGGCCAACTTTCCACTCTTGATACCACATGCTAATATGGAAGTATATTTTCTTGGGTCCAGCATAATCACAGGGGAGTTTGCAGAAAGCAGTTCTTCTGTTATTTGAGTTTAATCTGTTGCTGTGTGAAGCAAGCTGAGAACTCCTGCTGCTGTTACGTTACTGTGGTGTATTTCCTCCCTCAAATAAGGTATTAAAAAAAACCCAAACCCCAAAATGAATATGAATTTAAAAAAAAAAATACGATGAAGGGGCTTTGAAGTAATTTTAGGAATTTCATGCTGTCCTGTGGTAGACAGCATGAAATAGAAAAGATGAGAAGCAGTCCTCAAGCTCATGTGCATATTCCCTACTTTAAACCACAAACAAAAGCAGATACCTGTATTGTGAATACTGTGGTCTTTGTGTAGTGTAACAAATTACGCAGAAGTACATTATACAATTGTGCTGTAGATAACACTAAAAGATGTTTTGATGTTTGTGTGCAGAATCAAGATTAACAAGATTGATTACTGTTGGCCTTTGAATTTATGTGATATAGTCAGAGTCCAATGATAAGTCAACAGGTGTAGAAGTTAAGTCAAACCAGTGCTCATAGAAGAGTCTCTTTATGTGGTCTTTTGCTTGATGTCCTTAGTTGGCGACTGTCTTAAGCCCAGTGCCTCTGAATCCAGGACAAACTACACCATCAAATGGATTGTCAGCAGCAGGTAATACATACTGCAGACCACCTAACTTCTACAGAGATGTGTTTTTCTTGTTAGAACTTAAGGGCTACATAATAGCTGTTAAAGACTAGGTGCAACAAGCATTGATGAAAACTGGTATTACTCATAGCTTCTCTTACACTTATCTGTCTATAAGCAACTAGATTCATAAGAGATAATCTGCTACTTTCAGGAAGATACACAAAAGTAACATGCAGCAAGCGTGCTTTTCATTTACATTTAAACCTGTATTTTATCTGTGTTTATTCTTCAGCTGAATCAAAGAACAAGGCACAAGCACCTCATTACTATGAGATAATGGAATTTGATCCCCTGGCTCCTACTGAGTAAGTAACTTTTACAATAGCTAATAATACAGTTGTCTTAGGTGCCAAAGGCAAGAAGGCTTTTTCTTCTAAGTGAGAAAACGCTTCATGCATGCTATTTAGGCTGAGTTGGGTGGCCAACTGGATTGTTAATGTAAATGAGAGTGGCTGTGCTTTGTACATTTTATTCCAGTATTTCTGGCATGACCAATTAAGGAATAAGCTCCTATATGTTCATTAAACAGCACCTGTAAAAATGGTGGAGTGATGCTGAGTCAAACACAGTCTCATAAAATCCTCTGCAGTGATAGAAAATCAATACAAAACTAAACTGACAGCAGAACTCTCCTTTTGTACCAATAAATTGTAAAAAATTTGAGCCATTGATACAGAATTTATTTCTGGGGAATTCTGATGTAGAAAAAATCTTACCAAAGATTTCTCTTTTTAATTGCACAGTACAGGGTATGCTTTTGCCATTTGCATTTTGCACTCCTGTTCCCAAATTTATTTCAGTGAAAATGACCACGTCCAAAGGTATCTATCAAAAAACTGTATTGTCACAGACACACCATAGGATTTGCTCCTTGTTTCCATGGAAACCTGGGCATCCTGCAGCTGGTGCTGCTCTGTTAGGCAAACACTACATGTTCTTGGCAGTTCATGGTTCTGTTGGTGCACTTTGTCAAGATGAAACAAATGTGATGTTGGAGTTGTTCTGTTCCTCTTCTTTCAGAGCTGTTTATGAAGAAATTGATGTTGTGCTGAAGGCGGAAGCTAAAAAGAATACCAAATGCTGAAGGTGGAGGTGAAGTCTTTTGCTGAATGCAGGTTATTCTCTGATGCTGGCCCTATGCAGTGCTTCCTGTAACATAGAAGTGAATAATAGAACAGGTTTTGTGTTTAGACATAGTATTCCAATACTTGTTTATTGAGCTGTGTGGAAGTTGAAGTGTTACTTGGTTCTACACCTTGATAACTTGTCCTCAGTGTTCAGCTGTCTCTTATTCAAGGTGACTTTCATTATTTATTTTTCAAGCATTTTGAGGGCCTTTAAAACATGATTTCCAAATTCTTCTGTGTATCAGGTAACACTTGACACAAACAAAAAGGATGTTAGGTTTACAGAATCTGTGAACCCAGTTTCTCTTTCGGCCTCATTGCTGTCTGTGTTTACCTCACTAAAAGTTTAAAAGGGGCTTTGGTATGTAGGATGCTGATAGATGACTGAAGACAGGCAGTGTTAACTCTCCAAATTCATATTCTGAATACAGGGTTTTTCCTCCTACAAGCCCACAATATAGTTGGATTTTTGTCTTCCTAAGAACCTGAGCTGGGACTTGAGGTGCTGTCATCCATGATGAGCAGAACAGAAAAACCCCTGCTTGTTCCATTGTTGCTACTCTTATTTACTCAGTAAATATTGGAGAGGGATGAGTAATTTCTTTCAGTGTTCCTGCCCTGCAGAGGTGGTTCTGGTGAAGGAAAAAATAGTCATCTACAATGCAGATGAGCAGTGGTTATCTTTTAATCAAACTGTGTAACCCTGTTAATAACAATTACCTTAATAATTAAAGTGCCTTATCTATTTTAATGCTGAATGTAAAATGTGCACTTTAACAGGTATAGTTCTCTGAATTTATAATTGATATAAAGTTTGAGAACTTGTTTGGTGTTCATAGCTGATAAGCTAGGGGGGGTTGTGAAATACTGTATTTTACACATTCACTATGTTAACTGATGTAAGTGATGAATTCTCCATTGGCTCTGCAACTTTGTAGCATAAAATGCCAAATAAAATGAAATGCTGAGAAGTTAACCCCATCATGTCTGAGTTTTTGCATGCATATCCCATGAAATACCAAATGTAGGTAATATTTGAAGTATCTTATTTATTATTTTTCTTGTATTATTTGCAATGGTCAGGACAGCAGGCTGAGAAAACTGCTGAGCAATGGGATCAGTTTTTCCCTACAGCTTAGTTGTACTGGTAAAACCGTGGGACACTAAAGCATAACAGAAAAAGTTACTTCAGTACGGTGATCCATAATGGATGATTGTGAACTGAACTTTCCATATGTAAAGTAAAGTGGTCATAGATAGATGGCAGGGAACTGGCAGATTACTGAGGTCAGGAAGCTCGTTTTATGGTTGGAATGTGCTCAGTCTCTGTGAGGGGGGAAACCCACATTTTTAGGGGACTGGCACTTGCCAGGGAGGATGCTCCTGTTCTCCTGAAATATGTGGCCAGAATTAAAGCAATGTGAGAGAACTGTTGTAATCGGCTCAGCTTCCAAAAAGGCAATGAACTAAAGGCAGCCCAGGTAAGAATTGTTTTTTCTAGCCTGGATTTGAAGATTTGTCTTGGGTTTTCTTATTGAAGCATAACTGGAGTAATTGATTATAAAGCTCATTCATACAGATCTATGTCCCTTGAGTGGGCTCCATGTGTTCTGCTGGATAAAATGCTTTAGAAAGATGAATGAAAAGTTTTAAAACTTTATTACAATGCAGATGTGACATGAATATCATGCAGAATCTATTTAATCACCTAGTAAGTACATTAGGTGCATTTTAAAGTAATGCATTTTAAAGGTAGTATCCACTTAAAACAAACTATTGTATGTAAACATAAATGAGACTTGAAGTAACTGCAAGTTACTTCTAATACACACATTGCCTTCTTAGGATCCAAACAAACCAACATTAGCCTGCCTTTATTAGCTCTCATCTGCTGAAAGGGTAGAAAGAACTGGCCCAGCAGGTGATGTACTGGACTGAGGTTCATTCCTGTCTGAAAATGAGGTTTAAACTTGCTCTTCAACTCCCTCCTCACTTGCAAAGCTATGATAAGCAGTTATTATCCCTACCCCACAGATAATGACCAAGTTACCTGAATACAGACTTGCATGTTGTGATGGTACAGATTGCCCCTATGAGTACCTCTGTACAACTGATAACACTGCTGAACTTGAATGAGGTTGATTTCCTTTGGGGTTCTGAGACTCCTAGGCTACTAATTTAGGCTGCAGTGTAGAGTAGTTGTTCAGGTACTGCCTTTCCCTTCAAAGTATTTCATACACAGGTGGGGAGGTGCCCAGTGTACTGGGCTGAACACAGCATCAAAATTTGAGGGTGGCATTTCTAAACTGAACCCATACCACAGATTTGATGCGCTTACATCTGCTCTTCCTTATTCAGATGATAACAGTCTGCTCTTACCAAGTGAACTACTGATGCAGTACTAACTCAAGAGGGTGCATCACCTTCTGAATCATCATAACCTTCTGTGCCATAGGAGAGTTATGTAGCAATGCAGTCTTTGTTCAGCTTTGAGACTTCATGAACTGATTTTGTTTTTCACTTTTTTATCAAGTAGCTTACATGGAAGTTACTCTTCAGAGGCAGAAGTGCAGTATTAGGTGGTTGATGAATTGATTTCTTACTCTCTGTTTAAATGAAGATCTCATTTTACACTTGCGTTTAAAATTTGCCTCACAGTACTCAAGATTATTCCTCTATCAGCAATAGCATTCCCTTCTATTGTCTGAAGAAACACTCATCCCCAAGAAATGATATTCCAACTACAGATGTTGTTTATTTTTTTAATAAAAATATATCCTTTCATAACAGCAACATGTGCCCATGGTGGTTTAATAATATAATATCATACCACACAGTATTCCCATAGTTCTTCCTTCCATGGAAAAATGGTTTCTAAACTGGTAATCACGTACCAGAAGTTGAATTGTGTAGAGACTGCCTGTTACTGATACCCAGGAAGTGGTAACTTCTGTCCTTCCTTTGCTTCAAAAAAGGTGTAAGAGAGAGTGATCAAATCAACTTTAGCCATTTTAGGGTCCTCTGCAAATTCTGGGTCAATGTAGAAAAAGACAGGCATGTCCACTTCCTCCTGAGGATTCAGTCGTTGTTCTTCAAAACAGAAACACTGCATGGGGTGGAAAGAAAAAACTGAGTTAGACAACACTAGCTATGGTAAACTTCATCTCCGGCAACGTGACAGAGCTTCATCTTTCAAAGTCTACTCTTACTCTCTGTACACCCCTATAATCCTGGGAAGGATCAACCCTATGAGCAACAAGACAGCAATTGTTTCTTCTGTGTTACAGGGGAACAAAATGAGCTTTTAAAGTGTCCTCAGGTGCAACGGGGCCAGGCTGGCTCACGTCCTTGCCACCTGCCCCCAGTGCATGGCTACTAAATACCCTGTTATTTAGGAGCCACTCAAATCGGATGTGTGCTGCAGCTTGTTAAGGTAGGATGACTAAAACTGAACTCGTGCTGGCATTTGGAAAAATCAAGGTATCTTCTCAAAATGCTCAAAACTAGAAATGGATCCAGGATTCAAATGAGAAAGAGTATGACTCAGTCACATAGAGGAAAATGTGATCTTCGCTTTGTTCACACTTACCTGTATCTTATTGAAGTACTGTCCTGCTTCAAAAGGTATTACATTGTATGTAGAGATTCCAATTATGGGTTTGTCAGTCGGGTTTTTCGCTTTGTAAAAGGCCAACGCTGTTTCTCCTGGCACCACCTGTATGAAGCAATTGCACAGTGGCACTGTTTTTGTTAATATACCACAGCACTGCATCCTCAGAGTTCTTTGGACTTCAGCTAGAATTATATTATCTTTTGCTGGGTCAGTTTAGTTACTTTACAAACATTTTGCTTATTCAGTTCACCTCCATTCAAAATCACATGCAGCACCAATAATGTTACATGTGTGCATTTTTAATCTTAACCAGTTTGCCAGCAACGCTTCCATTATTCTGAACAGTTCAGCAGCACACAGGGCTTTCTTAATATGCAGATTTATACAGGATGTACATTTAATATTTGAGGTTATTCTTTCTGAGCTGGACTTGGAAACCAATTGAGAAGCGTAACTCCTTGTGAGAGTTTTCATGAAGAACTAGTTTTAAGAGTAAGGTTAGACTACAAAAATCAAACCAGTCCTACAAGGATAGAGGCAAGAAGAGGTTTAGGTATATGGCTACACTATATGGATTTATATGTATATACACACCCATTTTATGCATATAAGCATATGCCAAATACACATCCTTTATGGTGTATTTACTTTTGTGTATATAATTTTGGTGTATATATTTTGTGTATATATATATATAAAAACTGATACACTTGGGATAGCAATTGGGATTTGGCAGCCTAATGGGATGGTATGGGAGCAGCTACGCTTCAATTACACTACAAGAGGCATCAAGTCCTGCCCGCGTAGCAGAGGCTGGCCCTGCCTTCCCAACCCGCACCACCACAGTGCTGAAGCAGCAGCACTCTAGGAGCATCCCAGTGTGGTTTCCCAAACCAGGGCTCAGGACCACAAACGGGTGCCTGTGCAGCACCAAGGAGGTGGTACCCGAGGTGTTCGCACCCCAGGTGCGAGCGGTTCAGGGCAAGACGCGGGAAGGCGAGGGGCACTCACGAAGATCTCGCTCTGCTGCGGTTTGAAGTTCCACTGCATGCTGGAGTGCACGTCTGCGTTGAAGGTGACCCTGATGACCCGGTCCCTCACCGGCTGCATGCTCTCGATCTGCTCCGAGCCGTGCCCAGCGCCCGTCGTCCCGCCCATGCCCGTGGCCTGGCACAGAGAGAAGCAATGAGAGACCCGCGCACCCCTCCGGGGGGACGGGGAGGGACCGGCACCGGTGCCCCGGGTACCTGGCAGTAGAGGCGATAGAGCGGCACGGCCGCGTACGACATGCCCACCATGCCCACGGCGGCGGCGGCGATGTACGCCAGCGCCGACCGGTTCCGACGCCGCCATTCCTCCTCCTGCTTGCGGGTGAAGGGGTTGGAGCTCCGCAGCCCGCGGGCCCCCCATGGGACCGGCACCCAGAGCCCGCACCGAGCCCTCCCCTCCAGCCGCGGGGACACCCGGCCCAGCACCAGCGCCCAGAGCGGGCCCGCGCCGCCGGGGAGCCGCAGGGACCCGCAGCGTGCCCAGCCCCACCCGCACAGCCCCATGCTCGGGGGCGCGCGGGCGGCTCCTCTCGCGAGACTCGGCACACGGTGAGTGCGCGCTCCCGACGCAGCGTGGGACCGGCTCGGTGTCCCCGCCCCGGCTGCCGTGCACCGCCCTCCCGCGGAGCGTAGGGCTCGCTGCCGGTCTGTCCTTCCCTCGGGCGGCGCTGTGCGTATCGAGGTAACTGTCGCAGCCGTGGGGACCGGCGGGCCCCGCACCGGGCGGGCTTTGTTTGCCTCCGGGGCCGCCAGAGCTCTCCCAGTAGCGGTGGTTGCTGCCCGGGTACCTCAGAGGGGTCACTGCGGCGGGCGGTGGGCGCAGGAGCGGGCGGTGGTGAAGTCTCCTTCGTGTGGATGCGCCTCATCACCGAGCGTTGTGTGTAGAGAGTGAGCGGGCACTGCTGCGGGGTAGCAACAGGGAGAGGAGGCTCCATCCCATCGTCTTCTCGCTGTTGTCTGGACGCTGACGCCAGTGTTTCCCCGTTCAGGTTCACTCTGTAGGGTGTAAGGATTTGTTTTTGTTTAGGCACAGATATTGACATGCTGCAGTGATTGAGCCTGTCTGCAGACAGCAGCCGCCGGGACAGGTGGCCCCTGCACTAGAACAAACTTTGCCGTAGCAGTGCTCGGGTTTGCTGCTTCAGGGCACTGCTGCTCTTCTGTGCCCGGTTCCAGTAACGTGAATCATTCAGTGCCTCTGCACGTCCTGATACCGCTTCATTTTCCATTTAGATGTGTTGAATAAGAGGATCACAAAGCCCAGAATGAAGCAATACTGTGTTGTCTCGTGTACTTAAACGGTGGGTTTTTTTTTCTGATCCTTTAGCAAGAGATCTGAAACATTTACTGCAGGAAAACTTGTGCTATTCCAAAGTGAACTTCACATTGTTTTTTTCATGCAGAAATACAGCAGGAATTGCTCAGTGCGTTTTTATGGAGGCTGGCACTGTGCACCCAGGGAGGCTGTTGTATTTAAACCCAGGTTGTAGCATACCACTGGTGCCAGTAGCACCTGTGGCTGCCTTCTGCCTGTGTTCAGAGAGTTCCTTGTCCTGTTTTTATCATGTCTTAGGAGTAAGGATCTTTTCTGGTTGGTGGCCGTGTGAGGGTTCATGAGGTTTTGCTGCTGATGCAAAGGCATAATTTTGAATTAGCACTGTCACAGTAATTTTCCAAGTGATGATAGCTCAGTACATGTAGGGTTGTATTTCTTGTCACCCTGTCGTATGCACTGATAAAAGTACAATGTGAATTGCTGTTTTCTGCTACATTAGTAGTGTGTAACCCCATTTTCCATGCATTTTGGCCTATGTCTGACATATTTCACGTGAGAATTCCATAGGCCTAAAGTTCAAAAAAGTGAGAAAACAAGATGCACAAAATACCCGATCATGTTCAAAACAAGGTTCCCTCCACAAGTAACCTTCCCTGGAATGAGACTGGTTTTGTCTATAGCAGTTACACTGATTTATCCTGGAGTTGTAATCTCAGCTATTTCATTTCTTAGGTTTTAATCGCATGGGTTTCAGGTTGACCCTAATTCTTGTCTCATAAATTAAGAGGAAGTTAAGATGTCAGAAGTTTTGGTACAATGTATAGTGCAGGCTGAGTTAACTGCTTCCTTTCTTCAGCGATGAAGTGTGTGTGCTTTGTGATGAAAGTTCTCTTTTCCCACTTGCTTTCAGCTGGTCAGTAACAAACAAGAATAGTTGTCAGTGTCTGATAATAAACATTGCCCTGTAAGTTTCAAGAAGTGGTTTCTCCTTTCTTACAGCAGTTATTATCGTGCCTAGGAGCCAGAACTACCTGTGTCAGCATCCTTCATTTTGATCTTTAACAAAAGTAGTGTGCCTAAGAAGATGTCCAGTACAGACCCCCTAACAAATACAGATGAAAAGTAAGTACTTTTATCCCCATACGTACACACACAGGGGTACCATTGCTGGGTTGTAGTCTGCAGTTTCATTAGTAGGATCTTGTTTTGATGAAATACCTTTGTTGTTGAAGCAGTCTGAAGGAGCCTCTTGGGAAAGCTAATACTAACACCAGTGAATTTACACATAAAGTGAGGAAATAGCTCTGAAGCTTTTCATTAAGTTAATCAGCACTTGGTTTGGACTGGTTCTGTAGAGATAGAACCCCACATAGAAATTCCTTAATGCTTCTCCAGCTATGAAAACATATTTGTAAAGTAGGTAGCAAATGACCCCCTTGTACATCTAGGGCACCTACAGTAATGTAAGGCACTGCATAGAGCTTATGTATGAAAATGCATTACTTTTTGAGAATACTCTGCATGCTTTAATATTCTGTATGTAGTGCTTTGGAACCACCTTGGTTTTTATCAGTGCCATGGGATATTAAATGGTAATTATATTAATTCTCTAAACTCTAATATTATCCACTTAAAAGTTGGATCGGATTCGAAGTGGCAGACATGGATTCAGTGTGATTTAAAATCCTAACACCCAAACATCTAACTAACCATGCCAACACTGTCATCAAAACCTTAACTAAAAACAGGCACAGACAGCTCTTGCTGGACTGTCATGTTTGCTGTGCTTGTGCAATAGAATCCAGCAAATGGTATTCAAAACCTTTGTCAGACAGTTCGGCATAGATTTTGATTTATGCCACCTCATAAATAAGTTGGGTGGGTTTTTTTTAAATACATCCACAAAGTAGTAAAAAAAGTGCATTTGGTTTTTACTGGGAAGCAAACGCTGCTTCTGTGCTGGAAATGCAGGGAATGTGATAAAAGATACATCTACAGAACAGCTGTGACTTGCCACACTTGTGGAAGGTGCATTATATGAATAGGTACTAGAGCACTGAATTCCAATGTAAGAGATGCATGAAAGGTGCATATAACTGCACTTCAGCGGCATGGTGGTGGAAGTCTATAATTTTCTATACCTATTTATTTTCTGGGAGACAGTATCAATGCACAATGCTTCAAGAATGCACATGGTTATATGTTAATTGAGGTTTACCTAAACTTTAAATAATACCTTCACTCTCTACACAAGGGTTTAGCCCCAAACCATTCATGTTCCCCTCCAATTGCACTGTTGCTCAAGCCTTTTTTCATGTTTAACAATTGCCATATAATGACATGTGTTTTCTTTTAATCTTTATGACCTAATCAGCAAAATGTATTTTGCATAATTGGTGGGTTTGGATAGATCAGCAGTGTTTGCTCACGCTGTGTGATACAGCGTTCTCTTGGCTGACATCCTTAGTACCATAACCCGTTCAGAGTTAATGAACCTGAAAGGTATGATTGACTTGTACAGGATTTTTGTAACAGGCCTTTGTTTCATTTATAACACAAAGATCTTGTGAACCGTGGCTCTGAAGATTCTGCACATCTTTCTGTCATGTGCTAAATTCTCCTGATCTGTCTCAGTTACTAAAGCATTACAAAACTTCCTTTGGGAAAGGCTAGTTGTAATAGTGTTGCCAGAATAGAATAGTTTAGTGGCTGTTTGAGAACAGATCCCAATTTGTTTGCTGCATAAAGTAACAAATGATGTCTCTTGAAAATTTAGCCTTACTGATACTAGATTTCATGGAGTTTGAAGTTGTTGCAGTATTCCTAGATCTTTCTGGAAGGAAGAAGTAATTTCTGTTCCCCTGAGTATGTTCTTGAAAGGCAGAGAACCTGCAAGAGAAGCAATGATAACATTTTTCTATATGAGACCTTCTATATGAGACCTTTTCTATATGAGACCTTTAGAAACACTAAAAGCAGCACAGCAGCAGAATTTTCAGGTAAAGAGGGATTGAAGCTTTGGGGGTGAGTGCAGGATGTACCATTTACATTGAAGGAGGGATGGAGGAGCAGTTGTTTGAACAAGTGATGTATTACTGATAATAATTCTAATAAAAAGGGCTGGGAGCAATAAGCTTAATACTAGTTTATATGTGCTTAAATTATTTGGAAGTGTGTCATGTCTGGTCTAACAGAACTAAGTTTTTGCTGCTTAATAATGGAAAAGCATAGCCTGGAGCTGTACTTTTAATGGGAAGTGGGTGGTGGGTGTGTTTCTGTTGCAGAAAGCCCATCTCTGGGAACAAGTTGTATTGGTCTGAGTGATTTGTTTTGACAAATGTTCCTCATACTGATACCACTGATTGAATTCCTCTGCTGCCAAGACAGTTTTGTTGGAAAAAGGCTGTTGGCATTTTATGTTCTGTAACCTTGCCTGCAGCACATTTAATTGATTACGATCCTTGGAATTATCAGTACCTTTTCTTTCATATCAGACTGTGATGCCAGCAGGATTAAACTGATGGAGAAAAGACTATGAAGGGTCAAGTTTTCTTCACTGAATGGATGTGAGCAGTCCAAATGGTGCCAGTGGAGCTCTATACGCTCTGGTAACTGGGGAGGCTGCTTCATATTCCCCACTTCCACCACTGCTTTGCTCCTTCATCTGTGGTGGGTCACTTCACCCTTCTTTACCTTGGGCAGAGTGGACTGGCCCCTGTATATTTGAACACTACACAGCACATCACCTACAAGCAAACAGATCCTTCCTCAGAATGAAACCACAGCCACTACAACTTTAAAACAGAAGAAGGTGCCTGAGCTCAGTGTGTGCATTCCTGGCATAGCCGAGCTGTCCTGCTGTGCACCTCCAGACGCTGACAGATGCTGTCTCATCACAGGGCTACTCCCTTTCTGCTAAAAGTCGGTGAAGATAAAATGTTTGGCTTTCTTTTTAAACTGCAATCTCTGTAAGATCTTTGAAGGGGGGGAGTAATGGGAATGCGTGTTCTGGTGCAAGCATGGAAGGAAATAGCAGTTAACAGAGCTGATGTCGAGTGCTCAGATCTCCTGAAGATACTCACATCTCTGAAAGACCCAGCCTCAGATCAGAAGGGAGTCTTACCTCTGGGAACAGTGGTATATATTTTAATCTCCTGGATTATGCTCAATGTAATTATATAAATTCACCATTTTTATTTGATTTCACAAAAAAAAAAAAAACACCAAAACCATGTATCAGCTTCCATGTCTAGAGAAAATAT